CCGACTTCTCCTTGCTCCAGACCTCCCTGCACATATTTACCCCCTTGCCAGGGGCCACAGAGATGCAGAAACATCATGTTAAATAAAGCTGCTTCATTGGACAGAATACACAAAGATGCTTCTGGCCATCGGGCAAATACGTTGCAGGGAGATGCACGGAATCCCACACTGGGCTATCCTACTTTGGGATTTGCTTTTCAAGTTGACATTCCCTCTTGGTTAAATTAAAGGGCACAAGCCTAGGACTTTGGACGTCAACGAGAAACAGGGCCGTGCAGGATGTGAGTACAGTAGACGGGATCATGGGGTAAAGACACACAAACGCAGGTCTTGACTGGAATAGGACGTAATGCACCTTAACAAACATTGGAACTTGATCCATATCTGAATCTTGGCTCTACTCCTTAGTCACTGGGAGATTTGTGTCAATTACTTAATCTCTCCCAGCCTCTCTTTCCTCTTGTGTGATGTATGCGGATGTAGCCACTTCACCGGGATGCTATAAATTGAAGAGCTAAGAGGAGAAAGACCAGATAGGTTATGCCTAAATCATCTTAAGAGATTAATGACAGAGATCTAATTTTATATTGATCCAACTTCTCAGAAGATGGCTCAAGGCTTCGACAGAACAGCTCAGCGACAGCTCCAGACTGTTATTGCTGACTTGAGGCTCATAACACGTTTTGGGAACCATCTCTTCAGAAAGTTGGTGGGAAAATTACTCATTCAGGTATAAGGTTGACAGACACAATCACTGTGTCGGTCGGTGCTTTACATACAGGAACCCCCAAAATGGAGGAAGTGGGTATGGAGGAACAAGAAAAGAAGGGAAAAACAAAACAGCCACAAGAGGTGGGGCAACTACTCCTCTTCCTGCCACCTGGAGGAAATACAAGGCTAATTAAGGAGACACCAGAGTTTCTATTATTTTGGTTATTATTTGGCAGAGCCTAAAACTTCCCCTAAGTGGAAGAAAGAAAATCCTTCATCTGCTGTTTCACAGAGGGAAGGAGACAAATCCAGTTCTTGCCTCCGTTTGAGGTCCTCCAAGGAAGGAATGGCACACTCTGGCCTCTAAGCAGCGCTGTCCTGGCCATGCCCCACAGCCCAAGGAGCCCAGCCTTGATCCATGGCTCCTTGTATCAGAAGCCCCTCCTCCCATGTCTCCACCCATCTTCTGAGCCTGGTGATTCGGCCCAACACTGATGGCTACTTCCGCCCTCATCTTCACCTCCAGACTAAAGCCATGGTTGACTAAGGACCTCTTGGCAACCTTGTCTACTCAACCCCAGCCCCACGGAATAGGCTGTACACATGGCCCAAAGCCAACATGGGAACCTGAAGAGATGCTGCTCATCTGGGGGCTCTGGAGGAAAAGGGCCAGTCGCCATGACCCAGAGGCCCACACCAAGAGGCTGGTGTGGTCTGGTCGGCTGCCTTTGGCCCACAGTTTCCATGGTCCCCAAGTTGCTGGAGTTGAAGGTCTTTAGACTTATCAAGAACATCCAGCTGTTTCCAGGGATTTCTATTTCTCCATGCTGGCCAGCACAGGAATAGGACTTCTTGTTAAAAGGCAGGAGCTTTCCTGGCATTCCCCCAGGCTGCAGTCTCTCAGCAGCTAGAGCATCAGTTCACTCCTCTTCGACTCTGGCCTATCCTGACTTGGCCCAGTAACCAACGACACAGCATCTCCTGCCTGGAGGAACGCCGCATGCCCTACTGGAGGACATGTGGGTGGGAGGCCGCGTGGTACGGCAGGCGTTACCTAAGAGACACCTGCGGCATTGGGCTTTTCAGGGATGGCGGCCAGAAAGTTTGGTTTTTAAACAAACTCCCTCAAGGGACTCTGCCATTAGTTAAATTTGAGAACCACTGAATTAAATGATGAGAAGCCTTATTTTCCCTCAAAATCTAAGTCTCAGATTGACCCTTCTACTGTTTATACGTTTTCATGTATAACCATATTCACTGATTCTAGCAAATGATCTGAAATTACTACTTTAAGCCCAAAAAAATCTGAAAATTTCAAAATATCGTCATTCCTTAGTAGTCCGCATTGACATTATACTTCCAACCCCTCCCTCCTGTCCTTGGTGCACTTATTTTCATGCAGTTTGTTTCTACAGATAAAATAAATCCCGTTTACTGTCTTCGCTTTAGTCAACAATCTTTCAAAGAATTAATTATAAGAAAAATGTTTTTAATGTCTACTTTAATGTTTACTATTTCTTGTGTAATCTTCCTACAGCCTGAAGAATGTCCTTTGATATTTCTTGTAGCGCAGATCTGTTGGCAATGAATTATCTCAGCTTTTGCTTGTCTGAAAAAGTTTCATTTTCTGCTGTCACTTTTGAAAAACATTCTTCCTGGGTATAGAACTTTGGGTTAAGAGATATTTTTCTTTCAGTACTTCAAAGGCGTCACACCATTATCCTCTAGCTTATGTAATATCTGACAAGAAATTATTGTAATTGTCTGTTTTCTCCTGTATGTAGTGTTTTCCCCCCACTCTGGGTGCATTTTATATTTTCAGTTTGTCTTTGGGTTTCAACAGTTTAGTTACGATATGTCTAGGTATGTTTTTTTTTTTAATTTTTGTTTTTTTGTGTTTATACTTTTGGAGTTCTCTGAGCATTGTGGATCTGAAATTTGTTGTCTTGCATTATTTTTGGAAGATTATTAGTCATTATCTTTTTAAATATTTCTTTTTTCTTTTTAAAGATTGGCACCTGAGCTAACATCTGTTGCCAATTTTCCTTTTTTTTCTTCTTCTCCTCAAAGCCCCCCAGCACGTAGTTGTATATTCTAGTTGTAGGTCCTTCTGGCTCTGCTATGTAGGACGCCACCTCAGCATGGCCTGATGAGTGGTGCCATGTCCATGCCCAGGATCCGAACCAGTGAAACCCAGGGCCACCAAAGCAGAGAGCACAAACTTAACCACTCGGCCCCAGGGCCAGCCCCTCTTTAAATATTCCTTATGCTCTATTCTTTCTCTTTCATTCTGGGACTCCAACTGAGTGTATCTTAGATCTCTTATTTATTTATTTTTTCCTGAGGAAGATTCACCCTGAGTGAACATCCATGACAATCTTCCTCTGTTTTGTATGTGGGTCCCTGCCACAGCATGGCTGCCAATGAGTGGTGTAGGTTTGTGCCCAGGAACTGAACCCAGGCTGCCAAAGTGGAGCACACCCAACTTAACCACTAGGCCATGGGGCTGGCCCCTGTCAGATCATTTTATATTGTTTCACAGCTCTTGGATGCCCTATTTTTTCCCTTTTTTATTCTTTTTGCGTATCACTTTATATAATTTCTGTTGACCTGTCTTTAAGTTCATTAATCTTTCTTCAGCCAAGTCTACTGATAAGGCTGCCAAAGTATTTCTTTATGTTTTACATCATTTTTATTTGTGGCATTCCTATTGGTCTCTTTCTTATAGATTCTATCTCGCTGTTGAAATTTCCCTTCTGTTCGTGCATGCTATATACCTATTTCTCTAGATCATTTAACATATTTATCATGCCTGTTTTAAAAGTCCCTGTGTTAGGGTTTCAACATCTCGGTCATCTCTAGTTCTGCTTTTGTTGATTGCTTTATCTATTATCAATGAGTTGGGTTTTTTTTCGTTTTGTTTTAAGTGTTAACTTTCAATCAACTGCTGAAAATTATGCATAAACAGTAGAGAGACTGAAGTAAATAATTTTTCTGCCCTTAGAAACATTATTTCATGTGTGGTGCAAGCAGAGAGGTGGTTGTTGACCTAGCCAGCAGTTGAGTTTTAAATCATTACCTTCAATGCACCACGGGCTTCAAAACCCTCCAGTGATGGGCCACGTAAGCTTCCAGCGGGCTGAAGCCCTGGGGGGCTGTTCTCAATGTTCCCGCTCCATCTTCTGTTCTCAGCCGCTCCTGGATGCCTGTGCCAGAGAGCTCTCCTCTCTCCTGCTCTCGCCCCTCCCACAGAAACAGGTGGCTATTGCTTGTTATTCCTGCTGAGCTCCTGGTGGTGGAAGGAGGGACGTTCTGTTGTTCTGAGCTTAGGCAAACCCTGTGAGTCTGGACCTTGGAGTTCGGGTTTTCTAAACATTCCTGCTCCTCGTTTCCATGGAGGCTGAACTCAGCTTTGTATTTGAGGTCAGTCTCAGGTGGGAGGAAGTTTCCCTGTTCCTCATCCTGCTCATTGCATCTTTGCATTCGTCCTGGGATGAGGATCTCCACTGCCCTTCTCTCAGTCGCTCAAGGCTTTCGCTTACTAGCAGGAAAGGATAATGGAGAAAGGACAGAGTTTGGTGTCTGTTTCATGCAGGCCTGCGCCACTGAGGGGGCAACTTCCAGGCTCCTGCCCCACCCCCAAACTCCCTCGAGAAGGCCAGTAGAAAAGAGCCTGCAAGCGAGTCTGAACTTCCCCATGTCCCAGGCCTTCCAATACTTGAACCTGATCCACTGGCCGGTATCTGACCTTTAAGGATTCCTTAAAACCAGCTGCTTTGCTCTTCCCCGTGGTATGACAGCCACCTTTCTCCCTCCTTTGCTAAGTTTGGTGTAGTTTATGCCTCCCATCTCTCCTGAAAGGGGCTTTCCTCTGTTTGGAATTCAGCTCACATAGTTTTCTTGCACCCGAAGCTCTCACAGGGGCTCAAGCAAAGCTGTGATTTTGTAGACAACCTGGAGTTGAGAGGATGGGTGTGATTCTCCCCTGAGGCTTTCTACATAGTAAGAGGTAGCAGACGTTTAATATTTGGCATTTAATATTTGTGTGATTCTGGGTCACACAAGTAGACTCAACCTCTTCACATAAGAAGCTCACATTTTATTTATTTATTTATTTATTTTTTGCTGAGGAAGATTCGCCCTGAGCTAACATCTGTTGCTAATCTTCCTCTTTTTGCTTGAGGAAGATTGTCGCTGAGCTAATATCTATGCCCATCTTCCTCTATTTTGTATGTGGGTCACTGCCACAGCGTGGCAGCCAATGAGGGCTGTAGGTCCACACCCGGGAACTGAACCAGGACAGCCTAAGCAGAGTGTGCCAAACTTAACCACTAGGCCAGCCCAAGAAGCTCACGTTTTAAGAATGCATCTGATTCCACTTATTCTGGGGACTGGGTAAAATCCAGAAGGTCCCTAACCAGGCAGAGGAGATGACTCACCAGGGTTAGGGCTTAGCGGAGCCCAGAAGGTACTTGAGTCCCCTGAAGAGAATGAGCATGAGCTGTGTCCCAGGAGAGGCAGACGGTGAAACCAGGGACTGGCTCTCAAGTGCAGGGCCAAAAAGATGACAAAAAGCAATGAAAGTTGCAAATCAAGGAAATACACCTCCAGAGCCGCTTGTGAAATCAAAGCAAGGGCAGAGTCGTAATTCCGGGAAACGGCCTGAAGACAGCACAGAACTTGAGGTTCCCTCTTTTTGGTACTGCTTCAGCAGGGTACGGCCATTTTCCCTCGTGGACTTAGTTAGGATGCTGCAAGTACTTGCTATTCAATTGAGAAAGATTCAGGATGGCCAGAGTAGAAGAGGCTGACTGACGTGTCTAAGCACCGCAGACAAGAGAATATTCGAATCAGGGTTGTCTTCAGGTCATCTGCCATGGACGGAGTTGTGTGTCATCTCTCTGTTCCATGAGGACCTCCGATTGTGGTCATTGGAGATCAAAGTGTGGGAAAAAAGGAAGCCATTTCTCCTCCAACCAGAAGTTTAAAATTCAGGGGCTGCAAAGCAGCCTTCCTTGATTAGCTGTGCAACTTCCCATTTTTAAATAAGAACACCAGAAAAGTAACGTTTCTAAATCTGGAAGGAATGCTGAGTTGTTCTCTGGGCTGGTGTTTCTCAAACTTTCGTGTGTATTTGAGTTCCCTGAAATCTTGGGAATTCGCAGATTTTCATACCACAGCCCTGGGCTAGAGCCCCAGAGTCTGTTTCCCATAAGCCCTGGGTGACACAATGCTGACATGACACAGTGTGGGGACCACACTCTTGGCAGCAGGATTCTGGAACACAAACCAAGAGCTGGAGCCAGGGCCCGTTTAGCATCCCAGAGGATGCACATGCTCACAGCTTTGTGAGAGGCAGGGGCACATAGTTAGAGACACCACAAGGTGACGAAAGGATGCGTCACCTTGAGGACCTGAAACTGAGATTTTATCAAGGGCCTTGCTGGAACGACTGGGACTTCCCCAGGTTTCCAAGACAGATCTAAGGCACAGCAAAAGCAGCAACGGCAGTTCCATTCAACAGGGCTGTGATCAATACAACCACCCACTCTGAGCCTGACGCTAAGCTGAGCATTTTTAGGTATGTTGTTATCCCAATCTTCATTATCGACTTGCTTTTCCAAACTAACACACTCTATATGAATGAATATATTACCACAAGCCTGGGAAATGTTGCAAATTTCTTATTTGCAAATTTCAGTTTGTTTTGTCTGCATATTTCTAGTCCTGCTCTTAATCCTTCAAATTTACCCCGCCAGCAATAGGACTTTCCTAGCCATCCCATTATCCACAATCCTTCTAGCATTTCTGCTGTGCGTATTCCTCGATATTCAGCAATATTTCTATCAGTGGACATAGTTTATGCTAAAGGTAACTGGCCATCTGATGCTACTGGTGAGCTCTTCTAAACCTACACTTGTTTGAAAGTGCACACACTGGGGATACATGATATATTTAAAGAGAGATCTTAGGAAAGGCCAATTTGCCAACATAATGTAGAACACCTGGGGTCTCCTTAACAACAGATCTGTCGGCATGAAAGTTATCACCAAAAAAAAAAAAGAACATCCTGCTGATGCTTACAATGGGAATATGGTCTCCACCAATCTGTGGTCTTTTCCTCTGAGGTTTTGTTATCAGCCCCTCAGCGACACAAATTACGTATTAGATACTTAATTGCTATTAGGAGAAATTACATGCAGGTTTTCATTTATAGATAAGACCACCCACCGCTTCAGGCTACAAGTCTATACGTCCCAAATCCATCTTTATCTGATCGTTAGTTCCTAGAAAAAGCTATTCCTAAAAATCGCTTTAAATTCGACTATAAAATGGTGAGTCTTGTTTTGAATTTTCTTCTGGGAATCAAACAGTGCCATCTGTTCTGCCATGGTTGTGGTGCGGGTGTCGGGCATCAGTGCTGTTTTATGGGTCAAATGGAACGGGTGTGTTCAGATGCCCTGCATTCTTGTTAATGTCTGAGTGCTAATAACTGATGCTCATCAGTATTTCCAGTTCTCTGCCTTTGGAGCATCGATAGCACTTCTCCACCCACTTATCATTAGGTGTTGCCACATGACTCACTTTGGTTCATACAATGAGGCCAGAGGAAATATGTTGCACTTTTGGGCGAAGCCCTTAGGTTCTGGTGTTCAGTCTGCCCCATTCTCTCTCCTCTCCAGGGGTCTCCAAATGGTGGAAGCCTGTCAGCTTGCCTCCCTGAGGGAGGGCAGTCGGGGCAGACCTGGGATGGGTAGGTGGCATGAGCAAGAAATGAGACTGTTTGTCACCATAGCGGCATCCTGACTATCCTAGGCTAGTTTATCCTAAGAGACAGGGTTAGAAAATTCCAAAGGCAAGCAAAGATTTCCCTAAAGAGAAATGGCCTTAAAACTTTCTTAACCTCTTCAAAGACTTCCTCAAGAGAGGCGTTCCAGTGGCTCTAAAGGCCGCATAAATGCTTGGGTCATTTTACTCCTCCTTGCCTTGTGAAGCAAGTGGCCTCCACCTCCCAGAAGGCATGAGAAAGGTGCATTCACGATTCTGGCTAACACGCTGGAATGCCTGCTCCGTGCCAAGCACTGTGCATGGCTTTTCTGCTAATTTTCACTCCTGCCTTTGAGGAGGAAAGATTACAGACAAGGAAAGTGGAATTGAGAGAGGAGAGGAAACTCACCCAAGCTTGCATAACCAGGAAGCAATGAAACTGGGAGTCCGCCTTACGCTCTTCGTAGAGTACTCACAACATATTGATCCATTTCCATACCCACATCGTACGACTGGAAGAAGTACCATGCAGAGACGCTGACTTTATGCTGGTGGTCCCACAGATCGTTGTTAATATCCACACATGTGGCTTAGGAGCAACAGGTCTCAGTAAGAGCAGGTTAAGCTGAATAATCTAGATACCTCGGAAAGCACAGAAGCGAGGAGGAAGGCAACGCATTAATATGGAGAACCTCCTGTGTCCTGGATGTCGCATTCTTGTTTAAAACTCACAACCTTTATGCAGACTAGATGCTACCTCCATTTTACAGATGCAGAAACTGAGGCTTGGAGAGACATTAAATAACGGGACCCTAAAGCATCTAGTGCACGTCAGAACTAGATTTCGATCCAGAATGTGCCCTCTATGGAGCCCGTGCTCTTTCCCCCATACCACCGTGCGAGATTTTATAGAACTGGGTTATGGGAAAGGCAGGTCTTTCCAGAAATCACTAGAAAGGTCAGGCATCTGGACAGCTGCGCCAGGAATAGGGAGTAAGGCCCCGGGACACTGGGAACGGATGAAAACCCATCTGCTCCATAATTCCACCTCATGGCCGGGCCCGGACAGAGTGAAGATGTTGTGCTTACCTCTCACATCTGACCCAGATCACCAAGTTCTTTTAATGAGACATCAAAATTTTGCTGCTTTTTTGACAAACTGGTGAGGTTTCATTTTAAACAGCAAAAGGCAATTTAGCTGATGGCTTTTCCCACCAAATCCATTGTCCCCTTCTTTCTGGACACGTGGTCACTCAGCTGGAGAATACATTTGCAAAAATCGGAGAATCAACTTGATTTCTATAACGGTGCCTTTTAATTTCATTAAGCTAATTTAATTTGATTTATTACTTTAATTAATACCCAGGGAACTATGATTTTAGTTTAGACAAAAACTATCCCAAATTTTAAGTTAAGAAACCTACTAACTGGGATTTATAGAACACATGTCTAAATTTCTCTGCTCTAAGAACTCTGGAGATGATGGCACTCTAGGTAAATTGGCAGGAGTGTGAAGACGAGGAAACGTCCTACATCTGAGTCCTGAGTGTCACCTTTCCTTCAGGAATTGCCTTAGAATCTTAACAAAAGCAGACGTTGCTTCTCCCCCTTGGGAAACGCCTACCTTACGTTGGTTTCATTGCTGTGAGGCACGTTCAAGGGCACTAAGAAAAACGAGTCCGACCGAACGATCCTGCTGTCCCTTTGTCCCTGTGGGATGCAACGTTCATCAGTGTCCAAGCATCATTTGCTTTGCCTCCACCCACTGTTGAAAGCGGGAGCTTTTTGTTGTCTCAATAGCCCGACCCAACCACTTCACACCGCCCTACCCCCTGGCATGGGCCCACATGGTTTGAGGGACGGACACTGGGAGGAGCCCTGCCCACAGTGGGACTCTGTGGTCTCCTTCAAAAAGGGGAGGAATTTTGACCCCTTTAAATAAGTCCCACTGTGTAGACATGTGGACCAATGTTGTTACCCAAATATGATTCTCGTCTCTCTTTGAGCAGATATTCCTGGGGACATTAAACATCCTTTTCACTGTGTCTGAAGCGAAAAAAGAAAGAAAAAGTAGATCCCTCTCTTTTCTCTAATAGAAAAAGTAACAAGCCAGAATATTTCTAGAAACAAAGGGAATTTTCACAGGAACTTTGTAAACATAATACATTTTGTCAACACCCTCATCTCACAGCCACGACACACAACATGCATCTTTTGTCTTTGGGGAAGAAGCACACAGAAATAAACAAAACAGTTTATTAACACCATTCGATTTCTAAAATAAAACCAAAAATCACTACATGACGAAAGCAGAGAATCCTCCAAGAGTCTCACGTGAGAAATACAGACTTCTAACGTATGCTATCTCAATTTAACATATAGGAACTGATGCATTATCCCCATTTTTGTGATGATCAAACTGAGAGGTTGGATAACTGGGTCAGAGTTCAACCAGAGAAGCAAAACCAGTAGAACAGGTGCATAACTGGTCTGTAAGCCCATTTTCTCTGCATCTGATGCTGGAGATTGAAGTCCACAGGACAGACAGGAAGGAAGGAGAATTGATAAAGAACAGGAGAGATCAAGGGCAGCTGGACCCTAAGTCATGAGCTGGAACCCCACTAGGATGGATGACACCAAGGTCAGTTCTTGTTGCCATGGACCTTGGTGACAAGAGTGTCCTGCAGAAGCCAGGGCCCTTCGTCACAGAGCTAAACACATGCATGAGCAAGGAGCCAGATAAGGTGCAGGGGATCAAGGCTGCATGAAATGCCAAGCCCAAGGGCTTTATACATAGAAAATCATGAAGTCTGTGGATAGGAACAGTTTGTATCTTCTTTCAGATCTGTGTGCTTTCCATTTCTTTTTCTTGCTTTGCTGCACTGACTATCATCTCTAGTACAATGTGAAATGGGAGTGACGAGAGTGGACAGCCTTGTCTTTTCCATGCTTTTTTTTCTCTTTTGTGTTTTTTTAAAATGGCTTTATTGAGATATAGTGCACATACCATACAGTTCCTCTATTTAAGTGCCATTCAATAGGTTCTTAGGATATTCGTAGATATGTGCACCCATCTCCAAGTCAATTTTAGAGTATTTTCATTACTTCTAAAAGAAACCCCATGCTTTTTAGCACCCACCCCTTATTCCTGCCCCCGCCACACCATCCCCAGACAGCAACTGCTAATCTACTTTCTGTCCCTATAGATTTACCCGTTCTGGACTTTCCTATCACTGGAATCATGTGGTACATGCACATTGTGAATGGCTTTTGCACTTAGCATAGTGTTTTCAAATTTCATCCAAGTTACAGCCTGTATCAGTACTTCATCCCCTTTTTTTGGCCAAATAATACTCCATTGTATGGATATATCACATTTTATTTATCCATTCATCCAGTAATAGACATCTGGGTTGTTTCCACTTTTTGGTTACTACGAATAACGCTGCTGTAAACATCCATGTGCAAGTTCTTATGTGGACATATATTTTCATTTACCTTGGGGGTACACCTAAGAGTAGAGTTGCTGGGTCATTTGGTAACTCTGTTTAATCATTTGCAGGACTGCCAGCCTGTTTTCCAGAGGAACTGCGCCATTTTGTGTTCCCACTCGTGGTGTATGAGGGTTTCAGTTTCTCCACATTCTCAACAATATTTGTTCTTATTGACTTTTTAACTCTAGACATCCTACTGAATGAGAAGTGGTAGCATTGTGGTTTTGATTTGCATTTCCCTGATGACTAATGATGCCAAACATCTTTTCATGTACTTATTGGGCATTTTTATATCTTCCTTGAAGAAATCTACTCAGATCCTTTGTCCATCTTTGAATTGGGTTATTTTGGTGATGGACCTCAAGGTCCATCCATGTCATTGTCAATGGCATGATTTCATTCTTTTTTACGGCTGAATAATATTCCACTGTGTATAGACCACATCTTCTTTATCCATTCGTCCATCGATGGACCCTTAGGTTATTTCCGTATCTTGGCTGTTGTAAATAATGCTGCAATGAACGTGGAGTGCAGATATCTTTCAGGTTAGTGTTTTTATTTCCTTCAGATAAATGCCCAGAAGTGGAATTGCTAGATTATATGGTAGTTCTATTTTTAATTTTTTGAGAAACCTCCATACTTTTTTCCAGTGGCTGCACCAATTTACATTCCCACCAACAGTGCACGAGGGTTCCCTTTTCTCCACATCCTTGCCGACCCTTGCTATTTCTAGTCTTTTTGAAAGTAACCATGCTAACAGATGTGAGCTGATATCTCAGTGTGGTTTTGATTTGCATTTCCCTGATGATTAATGATGTAGAGCATTTTTTCATGTGCCTCTTGGCCGTCTGTATGTCTTCTTTGAGAAATTGTCTATTTCAGATCTTCTGCCTATTTTTTAATCAGATTGTTTGCTTTTTTGCTATTGAGTTGTTTGGGTTCTTTATATATTTTGGATATTAGCCCCTTATCAGATATTTGACTTGCAAATGTTTTCTCCCAGGGTTTTCTTTTCATTTTGTTGATGATTTCCTTTGCTATGAGGAGCAAACTCTTTCCCTACTCTTTCTGGTATTCCGATGATACAAATGTTGGCTTTTTTGGTGTTATCTCAAAGTTCCCTGGCTCTGTTCATTTTTTTTCAGTCTCTTTTCTTTCTGTTGTTCAAGTTGGATAACTTTGTTGATTAATCTTCCAGTTCACTGACTCATTCCTCTGTCTGCTATCGAACCCACCCAGTGAAGTCTTTTACTCATTTTCTCATTTTCATTATTTCATTTTCAGTTCTAATTTCCACTTAGTTCTTCTTGATGTCTTCTCTTTCTTTGCTGATAATTTCTATCTTTCCATTCATTTCAAGGAGCATTATTATAATAACTATTTAAAGTCTTAATCTGATAATTCCATCCTCGGTGTCCTCTCAGTATGTGCAATTGTTGATTGTCTTTTCCTGTGCAAGTTGAGATTTTCCTGGTTCTTTGTACACAGCATAATTTTGGCTTGTATCTGGCACATTTGAATACCATAAGCTTCTGGGTCTTGCTTCACTTCCATGAAGAATATTGGTATTTTTTTATTTCGCAGACAATCAATCCACTCGGGTCCCAGCTCCAAGTTCCTGCCAGCCTTCCATGGATTGTGTTTCCAAAGACAGATCAGTTTTCAGAGCTTTGGCAGGACTATTCACATCTGTCCTATGTATATGGCACCAGTAGCCAGTGTCGGGCCTGGGTGATGACTTGTCCCACAGTTCCGTAGTTCAGCACCAGATGTCTTACAGTAAGCTGTACAGGGTCAGATCCATGCATGCACAGCTCAGGGGTGCCCAGGATTCACAAACAATGTTATGGGGTCACTTTTCTGGGCTCCTCCCTCTCTGAAAGCTCCCAGGATTCCAACGATTCCTTTGCCCCCCCCCCCCCCCACCAGACAGCTCTAGCTTCAATAACCCACATCACCCCTCACTCCCTTGGATTGTGTCTGCCTCCAGGGCCAAGCTGCAGGAGCAGAGATGGAGAGAAAATCTCAGGTGGATCTGTTCCCCCCTCTTGGGACCTCATTTCCTCCCATCAGAGAGGAGGGTTCTCCTTCCTCCCTCAGAGATGAGGCAGCTGTGCGCTTCCACTGCCACTGGGGTTGTCTGAGGGCTGGGGCACAGGATAAGAAAAGTGGGGGATGCCCACCCAATCTCAGCACTGGGCATCCCATTTCCAAATCTTTGAGCCAGAACTAGCTGTTTTCTGCTAGTGCTTTTTCTATCCACACCTACTAAATCACTTCTTCCCTCACATCTGATGCCATTTGACTGAAATTATAGAGTCAATAGTGCCTAGGTGATGAGGACCATTTCATTTTTTTAAATTTTTATTTATTTATTTATTTAAAGATTGGCACCTGTATTAACATCTGTTGCCAATCTTCTTTTTTTTGGTTTCTTCTTCTCCCCAAAGCCCCCCAGTACCTAGTTAGAGATTCTAGTCATAGGTCCTTCTGGCTCTGCTATATGGGACACCACCTCAGCATGGCTTGATGAGCGGTACTAAGTCTGTGCCCAGGATCCGAACCGGTGAAACCCTGGGCTCCTGAAGCAGAGCACCCAAACTTAACCACTTGGCCACAGGGCTGGCCCCTTCATATTTAAATTAAGAGATTTGTTTTCCTTTTGAGAACAATGTAACAACACTAAATTCATTACCTAAAATCCCAGGGCAAATCCATTACCCTAAACCAACAATTTTCACTTTCCCTTCCTGTGTTTCTTAATAAGCATACAAAATTACTTTTCAAATGTGCCTTAGGTTTTCTTTCAATGATATTTATTGAATGCCTACTATAAGCCAGGCGCTGGACCGCTTGGACATGCAAAGATCAACAAGATAGATTATCCCTCATCCCTGCCATTATGGAGTTTATTGTCTGCGAGGGAAATGGACAGAAAAACCCTACAATTTTAAAGGGTGTAAAGGTTATAAAGGGAACAGGCAGGTGGTAAACAGAGGAAAATGGGCGACTGAGTGGAAAGGATAATCCGTCAATGTATTTCCTACCATATGAATTCAGCAGTAGTTTGTCAAGTTCCATTTTTTTAAACTCTATGAGAATTGAAAGAGCGTACACTGACTTTATAGAGTTTTAGAGAATTGACACACTTACATTACTGAATCTTCTTGCCCAAATCCGTGGTACATCTAATTATTTAGGTATTCCTGTTTCCTCTCTAGCGTAGATATGTAGTTTTGTGCATGTTCCATATAAATGGGTCTTGCAAATCTATTAAGTTTAATCATATACATTGGTGTTTTATTGCAAATGGTATTCTGTTGGGTGGAATGCTTCTAACGCCGTCCACTGAGTACAACGTTCCCCGTGATTTTCCAACAGATTGCTTTGACCCGGATTATGGACTTAAGCGTATACCAATTGTTTTTTAATAACAAAAGAAAAAGTCCTGCTCAAGTTCTTAGCATGACTAACTTTTTTGGTGAACAAGAACTATTCTTGATGATCCACGAAAAAGAGCGAGAAAATGGGATCCCTCCGTGATCGGTATTGCCATCCCCCTCCCCGCTCTTAGGGCAATTATTTCCTTCCATGGTGTTATTTTCACCTCTTCAAGTAATTCAGTAAACCTTGTATTTGGTTGAACCCCACTGATAAGAAACGTGCTACTGAAATTTCTTCCTACTCATACCTTTAGGAGTAAAGCAAATAACAAGAAAACAACTTAAAAGAAGGGATTTATTTTTGTAAAATGCCTGGCAGAGAGCAGACTCCTAATCGTGTTGAAAGCACGAATGAACGTCAAAAGGGATTTTTTTTTTTTTTTTTTTAGATTTTATTTTTTCCTTTTTCTCCCCAAAGCCCCCCGGTGCATAGTTGTGTATTCTTCGTTGTGGGTTCTTCTAGTTGTGGCATGTGGGACGCTGCCTCAGCGTGGTCTGATGAGTAGTGCCATGTCCGCGCCCAGGATTCGAACTAACGAAACACTGGGCCGCCTGCAGCGGAGCGCGTGAACTTAACCACTTGGCCACGGGGCCAGCCCCTCAAAAGGGATTTTTAAGGAATGTGTTGGTATACATTCCGCCTGACCTTTCATGATTCTTGCAAAATGAAAATTTGTGTTGGCTGGAGGGTGAGTTGTAACAGCAGCTGTAACAGTCAGCTTTCGAACCTCAGTGACTTCACACACTAGAGCTTTGTTTCTCACGCTTGTGAAAATCTCATCACCTCTCAGCCTTTAGAGGGAGAGGAATCTGCTCCACACAGCTCTTCAGGGCCCCAGGCTCCACATTCTCTACGGCATTTACAAGGTGACTTCAAAGACCACAGAAGAGGTGGCAGCTGGAAAATGGCAGCATTTAGATGCTTAATGTATTGTTTCCTTACAGCCCTGCAGCAGGAACTGAGGTACCAAACAGTAATCGACACTGAGGATGATGACCCTGAATTAATGAGACAGCCTAGATCATTGCAGAAACAAGCTAAAAACGTGGACATGCATTAAGATTATTAGTAAACTAATTCGCATTTTAAATACGTTAGCAATGTTAAAATTTCCAAATCTCTCATTTAAAGAGAAAATATAATTAGCCGGAGTGCTGCATCTCTGAGTCATTTTACTCACCAGGGTTTTACCTGTGCAAGTATGGCTGAATAAAGACGGGCGATTACATAACAGGGCACACTCTCAGCACACACATTATTTCTGAAACCACAGAAGCCAAACCACAGTGGAAAATTCTGCTACTCTGGAGAGAAATAGCAAGATAATTGTCTGCAAAGTTTCCTATTCTGCTATGCATTCTAAGGTGGCCTATATTTCTAATGCCTCTTAAAGGCCACAGGATTAAGGAGGAGTTAGCCTCTATGCAAAAAGTATATGTGCAAACTTCATATTACGATGGTTAAAATCGAGGGCAGATGGCGTGCTAAATAGTACTCGTAGCACCATGCTTTGTGGAAAAGGATCGGGAGTCCTGGTGCTTAGATCTTGGCGAAGGCTTTGCCTCTTTGGCTCTGTGTTCAATCTCACAGACAGGCCTTGAGTATTCGTGAGATATTTAAAATATTTCATGAGACTTAAGATATCACTGCTTTCTCAATATACGAATAAATTCCTGAGAATTCTGAAGATCTGTATCGACCGCTTTTTTGAGAACCACGTAGGTCAAGGAGTAGACGTCAGCTATAAAAACAACCGGTTAAACACATATAAATATGTCTATATATACATATTCCCTTTGTACTGCAGTAGTCTCAGAAGTGGGCTGGGGGAATTGCTGGATTTCACGTCCTGAAGCAGGTCCTTCAAGACATGAGACTATTTTGTCTACAAAACCACAGCGGAGAATATTTCCTCCCAGGAAGCTTCTGTGACTGACTGATCCAGAAAAGTCAATAATTAGTAGAAGTGATTAGAGCACTGTGTGTGGGGGCCCATGACTGACACAAGACTCAGCAGTGACATCACTCGACAGCCCCCTCTAAGAGGAGCCCCACACCAGTAGCGCAATGAGAACAAAAACAACTTACCTTTCTTCCCCGGGGCCCCCACTCCTGCGGTCCCTGCGTGTGTTCTCACCCTCCTGCCGTCCAGCTTCCCAGCATTCACCTCTCCTGTCCTTGCCCATCCCTCTCCTCGTTGTACCTTCTCCTCCCAACGCTTGACCACAGTAAATCAACTGAATATCTATTCCTTCCTTTGGAGAAAGTTGGTCAAGCACTCTATTTCCTAGTTTTCTGAGCCTTCAATTTATTTTCTCGGTAGAAAAAATTTTAAGTTTCTTTGCTGTTTCTTGGGAGGTACATTGCCAAATATTTTTATAAGCCCATGGCAACATTTTATCACTTTCTTTTTCAAAGAAACGGAATAGCTGGAGTTAAGCTGCCCCTTCTACTCAAGTACTATGATTGAAAATGCGAAATGGGTAGGTGACCTAATTTTACTTGTCTCTACAACTGGGCACATTATGTAGATGATCTTATTTAAATACCCAAATATGACCAGAAAAACGTGAAGTGGTTTTAGGCAGTTGGCGGGGTGGGGGTGTGGAGGGTTGGGGAAGGGAGGGCTGCTTCTAAGACATTAAATAACTTCGCTGATCCTTCTGCCTGACTTTGAGCACAGTTGCCCCAGCCAACAGCATGCCGGCTCGTCATCTTACGGAGTCCCAAGGGTCCTTCTGGAGCATCGGGAATGGATGTTCTCCAGAAAGTGTTCTCTTGGTCACTTAGAAGTCCCATCTGCTGTCTTTACGAAGTGTTGCTTTCATTTACTAGGTGCTTACACCTTCCAGGCAGCATGTTGACCGCGACCTCACGGGGGCCAGCAGCTCTACACGCATCACGGAAATGGGCAGTTCTCAAGGTCGTAGAAGGTTGAGGCTGGAGACACTTAGCGCAATAGCTTCTCACAAAGCAGGTGTTTTAGGCAAAGTCTTCTTTTTAAATTTTAGAACTTGATTGTATGTTATAGGTACTAGAGCATGCTCTAGTACCCTCTCCACAGCCCCCGAGGTCCCCTGAGAGGCTGGGGTTCTCCATTCCAGTGTGAACACACCAGCCACGGTGTCAGGACCCTCAGTTCACTTGAGAGAGGCAGACTCCAGAGAAGTGGGCCGTGCTGAGAGGTGGTCATACAGCAGTTATTCTGACTGTGGCCCAGGATTCCTTCTTTCAAACAAGCCCTCTTCCAATTTGCCACTCAGATTCGTTCATTCACTATGTTTATTTGCTATTTCACCAAAAACACGTATTTTATGGGCAAAAATTGACCATTCCTTTCGCCTGAGGCTCTTTCATCACGTATTTTGACTTGGCACTTAAAGCTCAGAATATTTTGGCCACTGACTTCCTAGGAACTATCCAGATTTCACTAAATAATCATTTGGTTTCAAGGTAATGGATGGGCCAATGAAGCCATTCAGACGTCCATTTACTATGATTTATCTTGATTGTATAACAGACCCCTTCTCTGCTGATACAGAGTACGACCAAAGAAAATTACTCAGGCTTCCGTTTTTTGAAAGAATTACATTTCAAAACGTCACTAGGCAGTCAGTGTATTGACATTCATCTTTCTATAGCAATATGTGTAGTGAAATGTAGAAAATAAGGGCCCGACCTCCAAAAGTCACTCCATCTCCCAATTTACTGTTTCAGCTCTGCTTCCTGATCTGAGGCTTTGCAGCACACACACCAGATCCTCCTTCAGACTCATCGTGTACACTTGTACAACTCCTTGAAAGATCATAGACAGCTAAGAAAGGTGGTTGCCTCAACTTTATTTAAATTCAGTGGAAGTAATCCAAATCGTTTGTGAGAAATCACAGTAGGGGGCACATCACATGACTATGTTGACAAAGTTTGAGATCAAACCAGGAGCACTTTGAGTCATTCTGAGATGCCACCACGATCAATCATATAGTGGCCTTAAATTGATTCTGATAGTGACCAGGGCAGAAATGGACACGGCCTTGGTAAGTTTTCGATAGCTGTATTTTTTTCTATTGTCTTGAAAGTAGACATGGAATTTGATGAAATAATATAAAGCAGTAAGATATATTGACATATTTGAGGGAGCCATTTGGCTTAACACTAATTCGGCCTGACCCTGTTTCTTCAGAAAGGCCTGATGTGGCCTGCTCAGCATCTGCTGTACATGTGCTTTAAACATTGACAATGTCCCAAAGCCAAGAATGATGACCTTAAAACAGGGATGTTGACTCCCCCATATCAGCATTTCTTCAGGGATAAGCATTTCTTCTCGGAAACTAAGGACTAATTACTGACCTGGTTTAACTCATCTCGTGATCACTGACCTGCTGTGCTCACTTTGTGACGCTGACCTGCTGTGCCAGCAAACTGTCCCCTGACAGCAGTAAAAGAGAGATTCCTGTCATATGTGATGTATGTTCTTTGTTCCAAGACGGTATATAACCACTCCGTACACCCTGCCTCTTCACAAAGCTTCCTTCGTTGGGGAAGGAAGCCCCAAGCTATAGTCCTCAACCTGGCTCATATAATAAACTCACTCCAATTTTGATTTAGAGATTTATTATGGATTATTTGCATCAACAGATTGCTGGGGCAGGGACAAATTATTCCTGAGAGCAATAACCCTTTTGATTTCCTCTCCTCTAATTCTTCTCCCTTCTGTGGCAGTGCGCTGAGGGCCAGGCTGACATCACCTCACCCATTCCGGGGTCTGTATTGTAGGTGAGGATCCCCCAAAATTTGAATCTGGGGCTTCTATACACATTGTTCCTCTCCCTTGGAAATGGAAGCACAGACCACAAGAGAGGTGAATCTCTATCTGTTCAGTCACTTCCAAGGTCTGTCCTTTGTCCCGGGTCCCAGTAAAGTGTGTTCAGAAAGCCCTAACCGGCAGAAACACAAAAATATTTTCTCCACAGCCTACAGTCCCATGCCCATTACCGGGCATGACCTACCAAAGGGCAAGTGGGCCAGCAGCGAGCTGGAATGGCTGAGACAAACTTAGGGTCCAGGAGAAAGGCCGGGCTGTGCATGGCAGGCCAGAGCATACCATAATGCAGCTCATATCACGGTCCAATGCTTACTTTACCAGCTTCGTTGAGGCATCATTCACACTCCATACAATTCACCCGTATAATTCTATAGTTTTCACGGTATTCACAGAGTCATGCCACCATCACTACAATCAATTTTGAAAGGTTTTAATTACCCAGAAAGAGCCTCATACCCATTAGCCATTAGCACTCCCTGCCATAGTCCGCTCACCTGTCTGCTTTCCCCTAGACAACCGCTTCCTGTCTCTAAAGAGTTGCCTATTCTGGACATTTGATGTAAATGGAATTATACAAAATCTTATAATATGTGGGCTTTTGTGACTGGCTTCTTTCACTCAGCGTAATGTCTTCAAGGCTCATCCATGTTGTAGCATCCATCAGTACTTCATTTCCTTTTATTGCCAAACAGTATTCCACGATGTGAATATACTACACTTGATACATCCGTTCATAAGCTGACATTTGGGTTGTTTCCACTTTTTGCTGTTATGAGCAGTATGGCTAAGAACATTCACGTACAAGTTTTTGTGGACATAAGTTTTCTTTCCTCTTGGGCGCATACATAGAAGTGGAGTTTCTGAGTCATAGGATAATTCTACATTTAGTATTTTAAAGGAATTTCTAAGCAGCTGCACCATTTTCCATCCTCACTCACAATGTATAAGGCTTCCAATTTCTTCATATCCCTGCCAACACTCATTATTAGTTAGAGGATGCAGGTCGAGGGCCGAGCTTCTGAGTAGAGGATAGAGGATGAGGGCTGAGCCTCCATGTGGAGGATGGAGGATGGGGGCTGAGCCTCCATGTGGAGGATGGGGGATGGAGGATGGGGGCTGAGCCTCCAAGTGGAGGATGGGGGATGGAGGATGGGGGCTGAGCCTCCATGTGGAGGATGGGGGATGGAGGATGGGGGCTGAGCCTCCAAGTGGAGGATGGGGGATGGAGGATGGGGGCTGAGCCTCCATGTGGGGGATGGAGGATGGGGGCTGAGCCTCCAAGTGGAGGATGGGGGATGGAGGATGGGGGCTGAGCCTCCATGTGGAGGATGGAGGATGGGGGCTGAGCCTCCATGTGGAGGATGGAGGATGGAGGGTGGGGGCTGAGCCTCCATGTGGAGGATGGAGGATGGAGGATGGAGGACGGGGGCTGAGCTTCCATGTGGAGGATGGAGGGTGGGGGCTGAGCCTCCACGTGGAGGATGGAGGGTGGAGGACGGAGGATGGGGCCTGACCTGCCATATGGAGAATGGCTGCCCAGGTCTGCAGTGGACTCAACATGAGCACAAAAATAGACGTGTGTTGGGTGAAGCCATTGAGACTTTGCACCATAGTCTAGCTTATTCTCACTGATTTGCTGTCTTGTTGAGTTATCATGAGGGTGATATAAGAATCCACACAAAGTGCTTCGAGCAATCCAGGCACGTAGTAATCACTCAGTAGGCAGTAACTATACCCATTCTCCCCACCACGAGACATCTGAGAAGTCGCAGTGGTGCAGTTTTGAGAGGAGCGGCTGCAGTGGCCACTCGCCATGCTCTTCCACTTTCGTCCGTCTCATTGGGGAATGTTCTCTACCATGTGAGTCTTTGCAGGAGGCGGCGCGCACTACTGAAGCCACAGGAAACCAGAAGTTCCTTCTTCCCAGCCTCTTCAGGGCGAGGGCCGGGCTCAGCACTTGGACTGCCCAAGTAGGGCCAGGGGACGGCACAGCAGTGTTGGTGGCGAGAGTCTACCACAGCGCGTCCAGTGTCCTGCCACAGCCGCGCCAGACCGTTTCTGTGACAAACCTCCCCAGGGTTCTGCCTGTTCTTGCCTGATTCTCTGTCCTTTGTCTTTCCAAGAAATTCCATTTCTGTCTAAGTTAGGGACAGACTGAGCCTGTTGTTTGCAACCGAGAACCTTGATGTTACGACAACAGAGAGCTGCAAAGTAAGCAGCTGATGCGGGTGAAACCCTGGAGCAGGCATCATACCCGAGAGAAGCTGGGCTTCCGTCAGACCGCGAGACGATCAGGCGCGTTTCTCTCGGACCAAGCTCAGCATGCTGTATTCCCATGGCACGATGGTGGGTGAGGATGACAGACGACGAGGGGTGATTATGTCAGTCACAGACCCTTCCAGCAAAGGTTCTCAGGGCCTGAGTTTCAGGAAACTTTCAATATTTCTCAAAGTTCTTTGAGGCACAGATCTGCTCAAATTTGAGACTACTACATATTTTCAATAACCAATGCTACGTGAGAATAGATTTAAACTGTTTTTTCCATCTCCACTGTTTTCTTTTCAGTAGACTCCTAGCCTACTTACCAGGGAAAGCCTTGTTTTTAGTGTTTGA